TGTTTTTGCTTTGGTTCCATCCCTTCATTCTTTCTGGAGTTATTTCTCCCCTGATCTCTAGTAGCATATTGGGCACCTACCAACCTGGTGAGTCCTCCTTTCAGTATCCTATCCTTTTGCCTTTTCCTATTGTTCATGGGGTTCTCACGGCAAGAATACTGAAGTGGTTTGCCATTCCCTTCTCTAGTGGACCACATTCTGTCAGATGTCTCCACCATGACCCGTCCGTCTTGGGTGGCCCCACACGGCATGGCTTAGTTTCATCGAGTTAGACAAGGCTGTGCTCCATGTGATCAGATTGGCTAGTTTTCTGTGATTATGGTTTCAGTGTTCTGCCCTCTGATGCCCTCTCGCAACACCTACCATCTTACTTGGGTTTCTCTTACCTTGGACGGTGGGTATCTCTTCATGGCCACTCCTCCTGACCTTGAACGTGGAGTAGCTCCTCTCAGCCCTCCTGTGCCCGCACAGCCGCTGCTCCTTGGATGCTCCTCTCAGCCACTGCCCCCAACCTCGGGCATGGGGTAGCTCCTCTCAGCTGCGGCTCACCTAATTTTTCCCTCTTTTTTCAGGTGTCTCAGTTTGGCACTGCTTGTTATTTAACTCTGAGAAGAGTTGTTTTGTATGTGTTTGTCCAATTTTCTAGCTGTTTGTGATGGGATTCACTTATGGCAGAAAGTGAAGAGGAACTAAAAAGCCTCCTGATGAAAGTGAAAGAGGAGAGTGAAAAAGTTGGCTTAAAGCTTAACATTCAGAAAACTAAGATCATGGCATCTGGTCCCATCACTTCATGGGAAATTGATGGGGAAACAGTGGAAACACTGTCAGACTTTATTTTTGTGGGCTCCAAAATCAATGCAGATGGTGATTTCAGCCATGAAATTAAAAGACGCTTACTCCTTGGAAGGAAAGTTATGACCAACCTAGATAGCATCTTAAAAAGCAGAGACATTACTTTGCCAACAAAGGTCTGTCTGGTCAAGGCTATGGTTTTTCCAGTGGTCATGTATGGATATGAGAGTTGGACTGTGAAGAAAGCTGAGCACCAAAGAATTGATGGTTTTTAACTGTGGTATTGGAGAAGACTCTTGAGAGTCCCTTGGACTGGACTGCAAAGATATCCAACCAGTCCATCCTAAAGGAGATCAGTCCTGGGTGTTCCATTGGAAGGACTGATGCTGAAGCTGAAACTCAAGTACTCTGGCCAGGTCATGCGAAGAGTTGATTCATTGGAAAATACCCTGATGCTGGGTGGGATTGGGGGCAGGAGGAGAAGGGGAAGACAGAGGATGAGATGGCTGGATGGCATCACCGAGTCAATGGTTATGAGTTTGGGTAAACTCCGGGAGTTTGTGATGGACAGGGAGGCCTGGCGTGCTGAGATTCATGGGGTCGCAAAGAGTCAGGCACGACTGAGCGACTGAACTGAACTGATGATGGGATTATGGATCTAATCTTAGTTACTCTCTCATGGCTAGTAGTTGTCATATTAGTAAGTGCTTTCCTCTCTATCTCTGTAAGTACCTTAAGGAACTTCCAGGAAGAGTTTTCAAGTCACTGTGGTACACATCCACCCCTAACCACACATGCTATGTATTTACCACTCTGGCAAATGAAAGGAATGTATTTATATCTCTGCTGAGACAGTCAGGGGTCAAAGAAGATTTCAGAGTTTGATTGTATTATACATTTAATTGTACAATCTAATTGACTAAATTGTGGTCAACTCCTCTTCTTATCTGCAGTCCCTGACAACTACTGATTTTTGTTTTTCTAACATTTAATATTTTAATCATTTAATTGTACAATTCAGTGGCATTAAGTACATTCACACTATTGTGTAACCACCACCACTAACCTTTTCTAGAACCTGTTTATCATCTCAAACAGAAACTCTTTCTAACTGTTAAATAATAACTCCCATTCATTCCTTGTCCAGCTCCTGGTAACCTCTATTTTACTTTCTTTCTCTATGAATTTGCCTATTCTAGGTATATAAGTGGGAGTCATACAGTATTTGTCCTTGTCTGGTTTATATCATTTTACATAATGTTTTCAAGGTTCATGCATATTGTATCTTGTCTTAGAATTTCATTCCTTTCTATGGCTGAATAATATTTCATTGTATATATATCTATATCTATATACCATTGTTGTTCAGTCGCTAAGTTGTGTCTGACTCTTTGCAACCCCATGGATTGCAGCATGCCAGGTTTTCTTGTCCTTCACTGTCTCCTGGAGTTTGCTTAAGCTCATGTCCATTGAGTTTTGCCACCCAACCATCTCATCTTCTGTTGACGTCTTCTCCTCCTGCCCTCAATCTTTCCCAGCATCAGGGTCTTTTCCAATGAGTCAGCTTTTTGCATCAGGTGGCCAAAATAGTGGCGCTTTGGCTTCAGTCCCAGTCTTTCCAGTGCATGTTCAGGGTTGATTTCCTTTAGGATGGACTGGTTGGATCTCCTTGGTGTCCAAGGAACTCTCAAGTGTCTTCTCCAGCCCCACAATTCAAAAGCATCAGTTTCTTCAGTGCTCAGCCTTCTTTATGGTTCAACTCTCACATCTGTACATGACTACTGGAAAAACCATAGCTTAGACTATACAGGTCTTTTCTGGCAAAGTGATGTCTCTATAATATGCTGCCTAGGGTTGTCATAGCTGTTCTTGAAAGGAGCAAGCATCTTTTAATTTCATGGCTGCAGTCACCATCACAGTGATTTTAGAACCCAAGAAAATAAAATCTGTCACTGTTTCAACTTTTTTCCCATCTCTTTGCCATGAAGTGATGGGACAGGATGCTGTAATCTTAGTTTTTTGAATGTTGAGTTTTAAGCCAGATTTTCAATCTTCTCTTTCACCCTCATCAAGAGACTCTTTAGTTCCTCTTCATTTTCTGGTATTAGGGTGGTATCATGTACTTATCTGAGATTGTTGCTATTTCTCTTGGCAGTCTTCATTCCAGCTGGTGATTCATCCAGCCCATCATTTCACATGATGTACTCTGCATACAAGTCAAATAAGCAGGGTGACAGTATACAGCCTTATGTACTCTTCCCCCAGTTTTGAACCAATCCATTGTTCCATGTCCAGTTCTAATTGTTGCTTCTTGATCTACATCAGGTTTCTCAAGAGGCAGGTCAGGTGGTCTGGTATTCCCATCTCTTTAAGAATTTCCTACAGTTTGTTGTGATCCACACAGTCAGTGGCTTTAGGTTGTCAATGAAACAGAAGTAAATGCTTTTTTCTTTGGAGGGGGGCATTCCCTGGCTTTTTTAATGATCCAGCAGATGTTGGTAATTTGATTTCTAGTTTCTCTGCCTTTTCTAAATCCAGCTTGTACATCTGAAAGTCCTCATTTCATGTAAAGCTAAAGCCTAGCTTGAAGGATTTTGAGCATATTCTTGATAGCATATGAAATGAGTACAACTTTACAGTAGTTTGAACATTTTTTGACATTGCCTTTATTTGGGATTGGATTGAAAATGAACCTTTTCCAGTCCTGTGACCACTGCTGAGTTTTCCAACATTGCTGGCATATTGAATGCAGCACTTTAACAGCATCATCTTTTAGGATTTGAAGTAGCTCAGCTGGAATTCCATCACCTCTACTAGCTTTATTCTTAGTAATGCTTCCTAAGGCCCACTTGATTTCACAGTCCAGGATGTCTGGCTAGGTGAGTGACTTCTGTCTTAGTCAGGTGTTAAGGTCGGTTGAGTTTCATTCTCCACTTTTAATTCTGCCTTGAATCTTTGATATGCTTTGTGAGAGAATTTTTTTTACTCCTCCTCCAAGGTTTGAGCCCTTCAATAATGTTGATATATTGTCTTAGTCCCAGGATGGTTTGCTGCTCTACCCTTAAATGTGGAGAATTTTTTTCCTTTTAATACTTCTCCTCTTACAATGAGTCTCCCTTGTGCACTGCGGTTACAGAGTTTGTTGTTCTTCCCCAGTGACTTAGGCCCTTTTTTCTATAGGGAAAATGATATTCGTGGGGCCTTTCTCCCTTTGCAGGTCTGCGTCACAGAGAAAGGCATTTTTTAGTCTTCTGTCTTGCTTCTAATCTTTCTCCTAAACACTTGATGAAGGCTTGTGTAGGAGAGTCTGCCAGTGCTGTGAACTTCCTTTTGTGCCTGTGACTCCCAGGGGTTCTACTCTCTCTTGTTCCCCAAACTTGACCTTTAATCATTTTTAAAAAAATTAACTTCTTTTTGGTCATTTGTATGGGACCCAGCATTTCTTTCTCCTGTTCTCTGACATAGAGGGGTCAGTGCTTGCTTCTCATCCCTTTTTGGTAGAGCCTGACTTTTCTTGGATAATAGAATTTCAGTTACCATAGATTTTTATAAGTTATGTTTTTGTTCTTTACTGGGATTTTTCTATTAAGATGGAAAAGATGATCTTTCCAGCATTCTACATTCTAAATGGAAGTGAAACTTCTAAAACTTAAAAAAATTTAAGCTCCTATTAGGAAGTACAGCTTTTATACTAAGTCAGTGTTTGTCAAATTATTTCTGGTATTGGTATATTAGGTATTTATAATACTAGTTATAGAACTGTTGCTTTATTCACAACAAAGTAGCTATTTGTTACAAGTTAAATGTTACCATTTATTTACATAATTGATAAAATTTAATGAATGTCTTCTGTATTTCATTGGTTATAGAGATATTTTTCATATCTAATTCTCATAACAAAGTTTTGAAATATGGATTTTACCATTCCTTTTTATGGATGAGAGAAACTGAGGCTCAAAATGATTAAGGTGATTGCCTTGCGTCACGGAGAATTAATATGTAGTAGAGATGAGATTTAAGCCCATATCTTTCTGATTTAAAAATCTATTCTCTTTCTACTTCATCACAATATGTGGTTGATTTCTTTAGTGCCTGGATAAGCACTAAATTACAGGGGGAATATAATAATAAAATTTTTGCTGGACTTGTGTTACTAAATGCATTTTGATTTCTGCTTAATAAGAACCAATTTTTTGAACAATAGGCAGTGACATGGGAAATGATGATGCCATCAGAGGGAATGTGAGCAAATATGTGGTGCTTCCAACTGGATACTGTGGACAGCCCAAGAAAGGACATCTTATCTTTGATGCTTGCTTTGAAAGTGGTGAGTGTGTCAAAGACCTTTTCTTTTGAGATTGTTTGGTGAGGTTTTTTTTAGAATCTTACTCCATATGACTATTTAGTGTGATTCAACCTTTTAATTTTTTTTACCATAATGAAATAAGTTGTGAGGGAAAAATCAAATTTGAATAAATTAACTTGGAAATACTTAGAATGAAACACAATAAGTGTTTTTGTTGTCATAAATGATTAGAAGAATAATGATAGTACTAATTAACATTTATAGAGGACTTTATATTTTATCAAATACTTATCTAGGTATTATTTATTTTGGGAAGACTAGTATAATTTGACTACTTGATGAATGATTGATATTGAATATCTACTATATGGTTCTTAGTCATTCTGAGAGGAGGCTTCTCTATAAAAAAAGTTAAAGAATGGATTCAGTTGAATAAAACATAAAAAGTAATATACTTCATACACAGCAAATGCTATGAGAATTCTGATAGGGGACTCAGGGCTTGATTGTGAACTCCCGTCCCATTAGTAACTGAATCTTGTTAACTTCCTTGAGCCTCACACTCTGAATGGAATGTAAGCATATAGTGTATATTCAGAATATGTTGAGAATATTAATGAGAAATTAAACATAATTTCGTTTAAAATATAATTGTTGATTCTTTTGGGTTTTTGAATATTGTGCTTGCACATGTGTGGGTATGCATGATTGAAGGGACATTCTAGTTTATGAAAAGTTCTCTGAACCATAAGAACCATGGCTGTTTATACCAACAATTGAAAAATTGTTTATGCAGGGTTTTCCCCTTTGTTCATCCTATGTTGTTTTAGTATTTTAGGGCTGCCTTTATAAAGAACCATAAACTGATTGATTAAAAAAACAAATTTAATGTTTCAGAGTTCTGGAGGACAGAAGTCTGAGACTGATGTGTTGACAGGGTTGGTTCCTTCTAAAGGTTGTGAAGAAGAATCTGTTCAGTGCCTCTCCTCTAGCTTTCTGTAGTTTGCTAGCAGTCTTTGGTGTTCCTTGGTCTGTAGAAATACCATCCTGATTTCTGTCTTCAGTTTCACAGGCATTCTCTGTGTGTTACATGTCTGTCTCTAAATATTCCCTTTTTATAAGGATATCAGTCATATTGGACTAGGGCCTAGTCTAATGACCTGATTTTAACATGATTCCTTCTATAGGAAACCTGTTTCTTAGTAGAGTCACAGGGTTAAGACATCAATGTACAGATTTTGGGGTGATGTAATTTAATCCATAACACAGTATTGTAGTGTTGTCTTTCCAGTCAGACTTGAACACTGTCAACATAATTGGGAACAACATATTGTACTTTCTTTGAATCTTGTACAGCTATTTTTGGTGCCTGGGTAGGATTGGTTCTAGGACCCGTGTGGATGCCAAAATCCAGATACACAAGTCCTTTGTATGAAATGATGTAATATTTGTGTGTAATCTATGCACATCCTCCTGTATACTTTATAGTCTCTAGATTACTTATAATATCTTATGCAGTGTAAATGCTATGTAAGTAGTTACCAGCAAGTGGCAAATTCAAGTTTTGCCCTTCTGGCACCTTGGAATTGAAAAAAAATGTTTTGATCCTTGGTTCATTGAATCTGGGCATGTGGAACCCATGGATATGGAGGGCTGAGCTCATGTGAATGAAGTTTATTGCCTTCAGATAGGCTTCCATTTTCTTTCTTTCAGAGTTGTGTAATATGTAAGGTGCACTTTGTAATATATAAAATATGTAATATGTAATATGCACATTGCCTGTTCCTAAGCTGGTGGATAACTAATCTGTGTTTCTTATGAGAAATAAGGCCTATAGGTCAAAAATGAACTCTCCAATGAATTCCTGGTATGTTTTCTTTCCATATGCCCTTCCATTTAAGTATTATTTTCCCTGGGGAAACATCTACAACACCCTAATTTTCTCTCTTGAGAGACACCTGACATTTTTTATGATTTTTAAAAGTTTCTGTTGCTCTTTTCTTCTAGACTATAACCTGCTTCTGGGTAGAATCTGAATATGGTTAATCCATGTCCTCTTATTGAACCAGGCAGAGTGCTTACAAAATTAAGCAAAAATTAATTCTGTATTTATTTGTTGAATGAAGTAATTTGAACAACAGAAGTTTGTGGAAAGATTAGTTTTCTGATAGGATTGATGAAAAAGCCATGTCTAATTGCTCACTATTATCTAGCCCACCAAATAGTCCAACCAGTTATCCAATTTCTAGTCCAACTTCTCTAGTCTGACTTAGTTGTCCTAGTTCAACTTCTCTCAAGCCTTTTTAGACTCAGGGAAGTATTTCTTTCTCTGAGAAACAGTACCGCTAGGTGGATTTGACTATCTCTACCCATATGATTGCAGGCACCTTTCCTATGACTTACAGGCCTTTTCCATGATAGTTTTTATTGCATTGCAGTCATTTAATAATCTCTTTTTCCTTATAGCTGAAAATTCCTTGAAGTCAGTGACGGTTTCTTATTAATTTTTGTTCTCTAGCATCTAGTATACTACAAGAAACTGACTCTGATAAAATGGAATTATACGATTTATCTGACAGATATTTCAAAGTAACTGTCATAAAGATTTTTACCAAAATCAAGAAAATGTTGCATGAACCAAGTGAGAATTTCAACAAAGATATAAATAATACTGAAAGTTCCAAATAGAAAGCATGAAGCTAAAGAACACAGTAACTGAACTGAAAAAATTTCCTAGAATACTTCAGCATCAGACTAAAGTAGAAGAAAGTGTCAGAGAATTTGAATACTCATCATTGGAAATGATTCCATCAAAGGAATAAAAGTAAAAAGAATGAAATAGATTGAAGATAGCCTAATGGATTTATGGGATACCATAGACCAGATCAAAATATGCATTACAGGAGCTCTAGAAGAAGAAAAGAAAGACAGAGGAAGAACCAAAGGAATTTTAAAGGAGGGAAGAAAGAATAAAATAATCTTCATAAAGTGAGAGTTTAAGATTAATAAAAATATTTTACATTTAAAATTTTAGCAATAGCAACAAGAACATTAGGGAAAAATAATAATCATTTTGTTACTTATTGTTTAACCATACCCTGTAAGATACAATAGATTTACATAATTTATTTCATTTAACACACACAAGCCTTCTGAGATATCATAACTCACTTGTAAGTAAGGAAGATGATACTCAAAAATATAAAGTTATTTACTTTGAATTACATGGCTAACAAGTGGTGTAGTCAAATTTGAAACAGAATTTCCTGACTCCAAAGGCCATATTTTTATATATGTATTTATATAAATACATTTTATGTATATAAAATATACATATTTTATATATGTATATGTATATATACATATATGTATTATATATGTATTACCTTATTATAGGTCAACTTATGACATATGGATAATAGACATATTGTTGAAAATTTATCATTAGGTGAAAAGATATATAAGAAAAGGTTTTATGGTAAATAAAAATGAAAAGTTTAGTATTTTAAAATAAGCCATCCAAATAAGTACTATGTTTGGTTACCATCATATGAAATTTGAGTTTTGTTTTATTATTGCTATGCATATACATGTATTAATTATGAAAAGTGCACTATAATTCACACCAGATTAATTGGTTAGCCTGAGAGATTTAGTATGTAGCATTAAATTATTGTGGCATGAAAAAGGGTCAGTGAAATAAAGATATGGTTCGGTTACTTTCACTTGAAAATCTATCACTTGAAACAATGGAAATAAAAACTTAAAAAATTTTATTCTTAATATCCCCAGTGGATTTTTACTACATATATTTATATAATATTTCAAGATTAATGTTTTATTTCCTTTTAAAAGAAAATAAAATACTCTTTATTATTGGGGCAGCATGAAAATATGCTATAGCTGCATTAGAAATCAGGGTTTTTAGCTTAATGCCTCAGTTAAACCTTTTCTTTTTAGATACGCAGTTGACTGATATACTTTTTTTTTTAACTTTATTGAGGAATAATTGACAAATATAATTGTGTATATTTAAAGTGTATGGTGTGATGATGTGATGATTTGATATACATGTATATTGTAGAATAATTAGCAAGATCATAATAATTAACACATCCATTACCTTACATAGTCAACTTAGGCATCTCCTTTTCCCTCCCTGTGGTGAGTATGCTTAAGATGTTAGCAGATATACAGTGGAGAAAAAATAGTCTCTTCAACAAGTGGTGCTGGGAAAGCTGATTAACTATGTGTAAAAGAATGAAACTAGAACACTTTCTAACACCATAAACAAAAATAAACTCAAAATGGATTAAACACCTAAATGTAAGACCAGAAACTGTAACTCTTAGAGGAAAACATAGGCAGAACCCTCTCTAACATAAATCACAGCCAAGATCCTCTATGACCCACCTCCCACAATAATGGAAGTAAAAGCAAAAATAAACAAATGGGACCTAATTAAATGCTTTTGCACAGCAAAGGAAACTTTAAGCAAGGTGATGACAGCCCTCAGAATGGGAGAAAATAATAGCAAATGAAACAACTGACAAAGAATTAATCTCCAAAATATACAAGCAGTTCTTGCAGCTCAGTGCTAGAAAAACAAACAACCCAATCAAAAAGTGGGCAAAAGACCTAAACAGACATTTCTCCAAAGAAGACATTTATTATGAGTAATAAACACGTGAAAAGATGCTCAGCATCACTCATTATTAGAGAAATGCAAATCAAAATCACAATGAGATATCATCTCACACTGGTCAGAATGACTATCATAAAAAAGTCTACAAACAATATTGTTTGTTTTGTTTTTGTTGCTTTATTCCCCAGTTGGCACCTTGCTTTAGTTTTGTTTTCTAGTTTGTGCTGTAGTTAGTTTTTAATTGGTTGATACCATTTTTGGTATCCATTTTGATTCCTTTGCATGCTGGGTCAGTCTATTGTACTTCTTTTTTTTTTTTTTTTTGACTGTTTTGGTTTTGTTTATGGATGTATATGTATGTATGTATATTCCATTATTTTAGTTATTATTTGTTTGATTTTGTATTGCCATTTGTCTGGGGTGCCTCTTTTTTTTCTTGCTTTTGGGTGTTTGTTTTAATTCCATTTAATGCCATAACAAATCAGCTGTGGAATCTCCATTCTCCGGCCAGAGATCAAGCCCTGAGCCTTTGGAGTGTGAGTGCTGACTCGAAGACCCTAGACTACCAGAGAACTCCTAACCCTAGGGAGTATTAATTAGTGAGAACTCCCACAAAGACAACCACCTGTATATAAGACCCGGCATCACCCAACTTCCAGCAGCATCCTGTGCAGGAGGCCTTATCCAAAAAACCAAGAAGACAAAAATACAAACCAAACAATCAGCAGACAGGATTACCACCTCACACAGCCCTGCCCACCAGAGGGGGAAGAAAAAATTGCCTCCTCCAGCCCAAACACAAGCACAAGTCACAACCTACATGAATCTTTCACAAACCACAGGACCAACCTTACCCACAGAGGGCGGAAACCAAAAGGAAGAAAGAATTCAACCTTGAGGTCTGGGGAAGGAAGACCTCAAACACAATAAGTTAAAAAAAGAGAAATGCAAAGGCAGAGAAACACTGTGCAGATGAAGGAACAACCTGGAAACACAGAGTCCAAATAAATGAAGAGAAAATAGGCAAACTACCTGAAAAAGAATTCAGAGTAATGATAGTAAAGAGGATCCAAAATCTCGAAAATAGAATGGAGAAAATGCAAGAATCAGTTAACACACTTAATAAAAACCTAGAAGAAATAAAGAATAAACAAACAGAGACAAACAACACATTTACTGAAATTAAAAATACTCTAGAAGGAATCAATAGCAGAATATCTAAGGCAGAAGAATGGATAAGTGAGCTGGAAGATAAAAATGGTGGAAATAACTCCTGAAGAGCAGAATAAAGTAAAAGGAATGAAAAGAACTTAGGATAGTCTCAGAGACCTCTGGGACAGCATTAAACACACCAATATTCTAATTATAGGGGTCCTAGAAGAAGAAGAGAGAAGGAAACGGTATGAGAAAATTTTTGAAGGGATTATAGTCGAAACTTTCCCCAACATGGGAAAGGAAATAAGTCCAAAAAACACAGAGAGTTCCATCCAGGATAAACCCAAGGAGAAACACACTAAGATTAATCAAACTAACAAAGATTAAACACAAAGAAAGAATATTAAAAGCAGCAAGGGAAAAGCTATAAGTAACATACAAGGGAAATCGCATACATTGAACAGCTGATCTTTCAGTGAAAACTCTTCAGGCCAGAAAGGAATGTGAAGTGAAAGTTGGTCAGTTGTGTCCGACTCTTTGCGACCCCATGGACTACACAGTCCATGAAATTCTCCAGGCCAGAATACTGGAGTGGGTAGCCTTTCTATTCTCCAGGGGATCTTCCCAACCTAGGGATTGAACCGGGGTCTCCTGCATTACAGGCAGATTCTTTACCAACTGAGCTATCAGGAAGCTATCAGAAAGGAATGGCAGGATATATTTAAAGTACTGAAGGGAAAATCTACAACCAGGATTACTGTACCTAGAAAGGATCTCATTCAAAATTGACAGAGAAATCAAAAGCTTTACAGACAAGCAAAAGCTAGGAGAATTTAGTACCATCAAATCAGCTTTACAACAAATGTTAAAGGGACTTATGCAGACAGGAAATAAAAGAGAAGAAAAAGATCTACAAAAACAAATCCCAAACAATTAAGAAAATGGCAATAGGAACATGTATATCAATAATTACTTTAAATGTAAATGGATTAAATGCTCCAACCGAAAGACTGGCTGAATGGATACAAAAACAAGACCCATATATATGCTGTCTACAAGAGACCCACTTCAATCCTAAAGACTGAAAGTAAGAGGATGGAAAAAGTATATTCCATGCAAATGGAAATAAAAAGAAAGCTGGAGTAATAATTCTCATATCAGACAAAATAGACCTTAAAATAAAGAATTATAAGAGATAAGGAAAAAGTCTACAAACAGTAAATGCTGGAGAGGGTATGGAGAAAAGGGAGCCATTTTACACGCTGGTGGGGATGCAAACTGGTACAGCCACTATAGAAAACAGTGTGGAGATTCCTTAAAAAACTGGGAATAGAACTGTCGTATGACCCAGCAATCCCATTGCTGGGCATTTACCATGAGGAAACCAGAAATGAAAGAGACATATGTACCCCAATGTTCATTGCAACATTATTTACAATAGCTAGGACATGGAAGCAAGCTAGATGTCCATTGGCAGATGAATGGATAAGGAAGTTGTGGTACATGTACACAATGGAATATTCAGTTCAGTTCAGTTCAGTCACTCAGTTGTGTCCAGCTGTTTGTGACCCCATGAATCGCAGCATGCCAGGCCTCCCTGTCCATTACAACTCCTGGAGTTTATTCAAACTCATGTCCATCAAGTCAGTGATGCCATCCAACTATCTCATCCTCTGTCATCCCCTTCTCCTCCTGCCCCCAATCCCTCCCAGCATCAGGGTCTTTTCCAATGAGTCAACTCTTCGCATGAGGTGGCCAAAGTATTGGATTTTCAGCTTTAGCACTAGTCCTTCCAGTGAACACCCAGAACTAATCTCCTTTAGGATGGATGGGTTGTATCTCCTTGCAGTCCAAGGGACTAATAATGGAATATTACTCAGCTATGAAA